GCGCACCTAGTACTCCAGCTACTCAGGAGGCTGAGGCAGGAGAATCGTTTAAACCTGGGAGGCAGAGGTTGCAGTGAGCTGAAATCATGTCACTGCACTCCAGCCTGGGGAACAGAGTGAGACTCCAACTCAAAATAAATAAGTAAATAAATAAATAGAACAGTGTCTGAATGATGAAAATCACTCTAGTTCATAATTTCTCAGAATCATGTCCTTTATCATTTATGGTCTATTATTGAGACCTTTAATTTTTCATTAAGGACTTTTTAATCCCTAGTTGCAGTTGTTTCAAATATTTGGGGTAAGGGATGGGGTCAGATGCGTCCCTTCTTGCCAGCAAGCAGATGGCCATTTTGAAGAATAACAGCATTTTCCATTGCAGGCTACAGAACAGCTGGTGAATGATATCCTGAGACAGGCCTTGGCAGTTGGATACCAGACAGCTTCTCACAACAGGTATTGCTATCTCTGCAGTCTGTGGTATGAGGCTTACACCTCTTTCCCCACAGTTGAATCGCCCATGAAGGTGTTTCATATGACGTCAGTCCAGTAGGAGATGGCGTGAGTGCTGGGACACTCTCAGAGCCAGATGACTCAAGGGTCTGCCCTGTCATTGTCAGAGAACCTCGTGGTTGCTCAGAGGGTTCTGTCCTCCCCCAGATTACTCACAGACACCTGGGACTCCTGTTTTGTTACAGGGTTGAATACGTACTAGCTTTGCAACTGAAGATAACAGTGTCCATTACATGTCAGACATGAGGGCCAAGCGTTGGGTATATTACCTAATTTTTCATTGCAGAACTGTTATTCCCTTTTTTAAAAACCAGGAAACCAGGCTTTGAGAGGTAATCTTGCCCAGCTTTCCTGGCAGATACAGTGTAGATCTGCGCTCCGACTCGGGGCTCTTGGCACTGAGGCCCTGGGCTCACCATTGCCCTTTGCTGACTCTTACTTTGAGACACTGAGTTTCAGTCTTTTCCTGGGCCCTGAAAGGATAGGAGATAGGCCACATTTGCTTTGCTCTCAGAGGAAACGAAGATTATTTTATTACATTATGCTAAAGCCTATCACAAACTTATAAAATCATAGCAAAGTGCCTGAGGACATCATGAAGAGGCCTAAATCAGGGGAATATTAGACGAAACTTCACAGGAATATATCAGACAACATAAAAGGAAGGGGAACCAGGAGTTCGGTCCGGCCGCCCGCCATCCTGCTTGAACCCCCAAGTGAGCCAGGGGCATCCTGTGGCCCCTGCCCACCTCTGTGGTCCCTGTTCTGGAGGGGTAGAGTGACTGGGGTGCTTTTGATGAACAGCTAACATCACGCCTGGCCCGGTGTGACTCTGTCTCCCTCTCTCCAGGAGATGAGAAATCGGGTCCCAGGGTTTCGCAGTGCTTTGACTCGGCTCTCAGTGTGCCGAGATCACTCAGTAGTGTTTCTGTTCTGCCATCCACTTTCTCTTTTTGCAGTCCTCAGAATCTTTTTTCCTAATCGTTAACCAGCTTTTTGACATCCTTCTCAGGCCTGTGAGTAGGAAGGCAGACGGGAGCCCTGACTAACGCTGTGACTGGGGGAGGGCACATCCCCCCTCAGGGTGCCCCCAAGCTCTGCCTGTGGCTCAGGAGCCCTCTCCCAGGGCCTCTGCCTGGGATGGTCCCTGTGGTGAGTTAAGTGAATAAATGAGATATGTGTGAGAGAATTGCACCTGCTAACACCCTTTGTTTTTTGGACCAGGATTCCCAAAGAAATTACAGTGAGTAATATTCACCAGGCCATTTGCAACATTCCTTTTCTGGACTTCCTCACCAACAAGCACATGGGAATATTGAACGAGGACAAGTGAGCGGAGTGAGGTGCCCTGGAGAAGCGGGATTTGAAGGTGCAGCGCAGCTGAGGACCTGTTGCTCGGGGAGGAGGGGTTTCCCGGCCACCCAGCCATTGCTGCTGCCTCCTCCCCACTTCCAGCAGCGTGCTCCCTCGAGACGAAGTCCTCCTAGGACAGGAGTTTGTTTTCTGAGTGTGGAGTGAAGCTGTGAGTAGATACATGCTTTGTTGGCCAGCATTTCTGCCGACTCTGTAAAGGCCCCACGAGAGCCGGGCCAGGCCGTGTGCCTCTGTTCCTTCCTGGGTGTGCTCAAGGGGCCTCGTTGGGCCTGCCTCCCCAGGAGGCAGAAAATGAGTGGCAGGCTAGAGATGTCACCCATTTTGTGGGCTGGAGTTAGCAGCAGCTCCAGCAGTTACCCTGCAGAGAGACTGGGCTTCAGCCAGTGAGTGGTTCTCTCCCCTGCCTGGCCTTGATGTGGAGGGGCTGTACTCAGCCCAGGGGAGTCAGCTGCAGGAAGAGGCCACACCTAGAGCAAAGAACCATGGAGGCCTGAGAGACTGTAGACTGAGCACAGGAGCATTACTAGAACCACTGTCAAAGCAGTGGCAAGGGACGTAGAGACCCTAGCATGGGTCAGGAAGAGGTTTGATTATAACCAAGAAAACTCTGTGTGAGGAACATAGGACAGCGGGCACCGGTCCCGGACACTTGGCCAGAAGTGTAGCCACGTGACATGTGTGGAGCAGATCGCAGGCTCCACGCCGTCTGCACAGTCTGCAGGAGCTTCTGCTGCTGACCTCGTGCTGAGTGGGCAGTGGAGAGCAGCCCCCTGCTGGGGTCGTCTATCTTATCCATGGATCTTGTATCCTCTTCTCTGTTTTCCCAAGAAGAAAGTATTTAAAAGAAACACCAGTGAGTGCCTTAAAGTTCGGGAAGTAACTGCCCATACCCAGAAGCAGCGAGATTAGGCTGTGTCCGGAAGCAAAGGCTGTGTCCCTCGATGGGAGGGAGCAGCAGGCAGGGGAAGGAGGGAGCAGGTGGCGCTGCACAGCGCCGGGCCACTGGTGGTGCCCTGTCCCCAGACTTCCTAACGGCCTGTGTGGAAGGTAGAAGAAAGGGTGCATGCTCAGCCAGAAATCTACTCCTGTTCTGCTAAAGGAGAATCATCAGAAACCTGTGAGTCAGTCAGAGAAGCTTATCCAAGCAACAGAATTCCTGTTTTCATGGGTCCTGTAGAGGTTTGAGTCAGGTAGATAGGGCAGGGAGTGACGGAATAAAATCCGCCTTTTAAATTCAGCATCTGGGCCAGGCAAGTTGGCTCACAGCTGTCATCCCAGCACTTTGGGAGGCCGAGGCAGGTAGATCACTTGAGGCCGGGAGTTTGAGACCAGCCTAACCAATGTGATGAAACCCCATCATCTCTACTGAAAATAAAAAAAATTAGCTGGGCATGGTGGCGAGTGCCTGTAATCCCAGCTACTTGGGAGGCTGAGGCAGGAGAATCACTTGAACCCAGGAGGTGGAGGTTGTAGTGAGCCGAGATGGCACCGTTGCACTCTAGCCTGGGGGACAGAGGGAGACCCCATCTCAAAAAAAAAATAACTCAGCATCTGAGGGCCACAAGGGCAGAAGGAGTCTATTCTCAGTAGGGCATGGGGCACACACTGGCTTAACAGTTGAGTGTATAAGGCTCAGATAGTCTGTGCATGAACTGCTATAGCAAGCAAGGTTCATAGGGAAGTGGGTAGATTCCTTCTGCTAAGTGGACTGAGGACCACAGGAAGGAGGGAGGAAGAGCTGATTCAGATGAGAACAGATTACAGGTCTGAAAGCCTAAAGAAATTATCTTTTTGCAAAAGAAACATTAAATGATTTAGCAGTCTCCACATGTGGTAATGTTTCAAATGTTTATCATAATGTGTATAATTGTATAACAAAATTATCTACAATAAATCTTTTGGTATTTGCGGTGGGTCTTTCTGAGTTTGAAGTGCTGTACTCAGGCAGGGTTCCCCTTGCACTAGGATGAGGTGATGGTGTAGGTTTTTATTTGTATGTTTAAATTCCTCTACTACTTGCCAAAAAAAAAAAAAAAGCAACCATACAAGATAAAGGATTACAGTTACGTAAAAGTCTAAAAAAACAAAATTGGAAATGAGCATTATTCTGACAGCTTGGGGCAAAAGAAAACTGCATAAATGAGCTCAGAGCTTCCTTAAAGCCAAGATAAAGAGAGAAATCAGCTCCGAATGTCTAACAAAGAAACATACCGATTTATCTGGCAGGATAAAATTGGACTGTGTTGAGGTCTGAAGGAAGTTACTCCTGTGACAGTCATGCCGTGACCATCTGCTGCCAAAGCATGTGGCTAAATAATGAAAAATGCAGAAACAGAAGAGCTGAAAGATTTTGAAAGCTTTGGTTCTTTAAAGGCGAGAATTTCTGCAAGAAGGCATCATGATCCAGTCCAAGCCTATAACTTTCTGGGGACCGTATTTCACTGAGAGTCAGAACGGAGAGACGAGCAGGCTGGAGGCTGGGAGTCAGGGGTGTGCCTGGGCTTACATGTTTTTTGTCGGCCAAGCTTTGGGCAGTAGCAACAGAGCAGGCACAGATCTGTGTCACAGGTGGCACCTTACATGGTTTGGAGTCCATGTGACTGGTTGAAGAAGCCCTGTGTGGACGGGGCCAGCAAGCTGGTTTTTGGTTTCATCTTGACCCTGTTCAGAGGGGAAGTTCTTCCATCTGCCTGGGGTGGGCTGTAGGGCCTAGCTTTTCTCAAAAGCTGCTCTTGAGAATTGGTCCTGAGTCCTGTCCCATAGAGCACAGAGAGGTGAGATCTTGATCTAAGTATCTCAACTCTGTCTCTACAAAATTTAGCCGGGTGTGGCGGCAGGCGCCTGTAATCCCAGCTACTCAGGAGGCTGAGGTGGGAGACTCACTTGAACACTTCCTGGGAGGCTGAGGCAGGAGAATCACTTGAACTCAGGAAGTGGAGGTTGCAGTGAGCAGACATCACACCACTGCACTCCAGCCTGGGCAACAGACCAAGATTCCATCTCAGAAAAAGAAAAGCCAGGCATGGTGGCCCTGTGGTCCCAACTACTCAAGAGGCTGAGGTGGGAGGATCGTTTGAGACCAGAAGGTCGAGGCTGCAGTGAGCAGTGTTCGCACCACTGCACTCTAGCCCGGGCAACAAAGCAAGGCCCTGTCTTGAGATAATGATGACGCACCTTCAGGAAGACTGTGGAGCTGGTGTGTGTGCAAAGCTGTGTGCTGTGCACTGCAGAAAGGCTCCTGGGTATCTGCCTGCCGTGCAGTCAGGCCTGGTGGGTGTGCTGAGGCCTCCAATGCTGCTGCCCACCAGCACTGCCAGGAAGGGGCGGGCCCAGCTGGTCCTGGCTGACGTGCAGCAGAGCTGAGCGGCCCATTATAGAACAAACAAGCATCCTAGGGGCTGTGCAGGGTGACACTGGGCAGGAGCGGGTGAGGGGCTGTGAGCACAGCAGCAACCTGGAGGGTGCTGGGAGCTGCAGGTGGGAAGAGCTGGCTCCCGGGCAAGTGAGGCAGCAAAGACTAATCCTAACACCCAAGCCTTGGTTACTTTCTGTACTGAGCACCCACCCATAAACACGGATGCTCCTGGCGAGCCACACAGTGTAGCTGGTAGCACCCTTGCTTTACGGGTGAAGGAACGGAATTCCAATTGCTCCCAGCTAGCGAGGGGAGAGTGAGGATTGGGGCCTGAGAGGAGCTTCAGAGAGTCCCTTTACCCGAGGTGCCTGGGTGAGTGCAGGGGACAGGCTGGGTTCTGTGGACTGTACCTGACACATGTGCCCTGCAGCTCACAGCAAGAACTGCTCAGGATCTGGGGTGTGGCAGCAGCCGGGCCAGACTGAAGTGCTTAGCACCAAGAGACTGGTGGAAGAGTATGAGAAGACGTTTACCATTTAAATTGAAACTGCATTGTTGCATTTTAGTAAAATCTGAGATTGTACAGTTTAATCTCATTTCCCACAGAACACCCGGCAGGCAGCCCCTTTTATCTTAGAAACATTAGACATGCAAGCCGTGAAGTCTGAAACACCAGAAGCCCTTGGGTAAGCGCACAAAATGTGGGTTTCTTCAGAGTGAGCCTCTCATCAAGAGCGTTCTCTTTGCTGGCATGAGGGGAGGGCTGTGCCTGCCGGGCCTGGCACCTGGGAGGGCTGCTGCGCAGGCAGCCAGAGCCGCAGGCACGGCCCCACCTACATGCCTGGTGGCTCTGAGGCCGGAGGGCCACCACCAGCAGCTTAGACACTCACCAGACTAGAGCCACGTGGGGCCAAAGAGGATGAAAGATGCAAAGGGAAATCCACAAATGGCCTTCCTGAAGATGGTCCCAAGCTTGTGCCTCTGGGCTTTAAAAAGGGATGTAGCCCCTTCACATGTCTGAAGGGCTGCTGTGCAAAGAAGGGACCAGGCGTGACCTGTGCGGCCATGCTGGCTGGAATTCACGGAGGAAGTTGGGAGAGCTTGCCAGAGAAAATCAACTACCTCCTCAAAAGGTGGTGAGTCCCAGAGTCCCCGTCACTGTACACGTGAGTAGGGTAGACAGGAGGGGAAGGGTTGGTGCAGATGCCATTTTAAGGTATTTCGGGGAGTGAGGCAAATGCCACCTTCCCCAAAACACTCCCAGTTCTTAGCCCGCACGCATGACCGTGCCTTTCTTGTCATCCTTATGTTAGGGGGAAAAATAATTAGTAATAAAACGTGGACTGAGTCTCTAGTCACTTACCACAAAGCAAATGTGATTCATTCAATCCCAATAAATGTTTTGTTAAAACGTGAGGCTCATCATGGCCATAAGGAGGTCTGTGAGGTGGAGGCTGCATGACTGGTCTGTTTCTTCTGGAAACTTCCTCCTGGACGCTCAGCATCACCATGAGTCATGCAGGTGACGGCCCAAGATGCCTACAGCTTCAACCGCAGGGGCCATTTGTAGGAAAAGCCAAGGGTCTCACCTTGGATTCGCATAGGTTGTAAAATAAATCACGTGGTCATGCATCCTGGGAGATCCACCGGAAGTGGACATCACTGGTTCTTCAAGGGCCGATGCGTCCACATTCCTCGGCTTCCGTGGACCAGTTCGTTCCCGATTGACTTGATCTCAGGCTCCTCAGATGGCCACATGGCGGTCACACGCGTGGGAGCCTTCCGCGGGCTTCTCGGGAGGACGGCTGGGCTGGGTGTGCCAGGTCCGGTGGCGTGTCTGCTCCACACCAGCACACGGTCCCTGGCCACAGCTTTGAGAGGGCTGTGCCGTCCACGAGGGGCCAATGCCATGCTCTCGCCTGGCCCAGCGGCAGTGGGTCCCGAGGCTGCTCCCCAGTCCTCTCAGCAGCCATGGTGTCACGGCGCGGGTGTCACACGTTGAGGATCCGCGGCGCTGAGGCCTGAAAGATGGCTGAGGGGTTGGGAGTGAACTTCTTCCTCACCTCAGGGACCTGAAAAATGAAGTGTGGCCGCATGTCAGCGGGACTTCCTTCACTCCCTGCCCCCCAACACCTGGAAGGAATCCCCCCTCGCGCTCTTCATCCTCCAGGAGTTGAGACCTGAAGGGCCGGCGGGGACTCATGCACCGTGAGCCGCAGGCATCGCTGCGTGACGGGCTCGGTGGCACTCGGACCTTCCATTCTGCTCCTGGGACTCGGGGAGCTCTGTGCCCACCCGCAGCACCCAGCACCTTCCAGCTCGCTGCCCTGTGCTCATAGCCCCCAGCTGCCCCCCACGCAGTGTCACCCCGCACAGCCCCCGGCCGCCCCCCGCGCAGTGTCACCCCGCACAGCCCCCGGCCGCCTCCCAGTGTCACCCTGCACAGCCCCCAGCTGCCTCCCACGCAGTGTCACCTCGCACAGCCCCCGGCTGCCCCCCAGTATCACCCCGCACAGCCCCCGGCCGCCCTCCCGTGCAGTGTCACCCCGCACAGCCCCCGGGCGCCCCCCCCGTGCAGTGTCACCCCGCACAGCCCCCGGCCGCCTCCCAGTGTCACCCCGCACAGCCCCCGGCCGCCCCCCAGTATCACCCCGCACAGCCCCCGGCCGCCCCCCGTGCAGTGTCACCCCGCACAGCCCCCGGGCGCCCCCCAGTATCACCCCGCACAGCCCCTGGCCGCCCCCCGTGCAGTGTCACCTTGCACAGCCCCCGGCCGCCCCCCAGTGTTATCCCGCACAGCCCCCGGCCGCCTCCCAGTGTCACCCCCCACAGCTCCCGGCTGCCTCCCATGCAGTGTCACCTTGCACAGCCCCCCGCCGCCCCCCAGTATCACCCCGCACAGCCCCTGGCCGCCCCCCAGTGTCACCCCCCCACAGCTCCCGGCCGCCTCCCATTCAGTGTCACCCCGCACAGCCCCCGGGCGCCCCCCAGTATCACCCCGCACAACCCCCGGCCGCCTCCCAGTGTCACCCCGCACAACTCCCGGCCGCCTCCCACGCAGTGTCACCTCGCACAGCCCCCGGCCGCCCCCCAGTGTCACGCTGCACAGCCCCCAGCCGCCTGCCACGCAGTGTCACCCCGCACAGCCCCCGGCCGTCCCCCAGTGTCACCCCGCACAGCCCCCGGCCGCCTCCCACGCAGTGTCACCCTGCACAGGGCCCGGGTACCTGTTTGGCCTGCTCCCCACCCCGCTTCCTTTCCAGGCCTCTTTCCTGTTACGCAGATGCTGTGTGTGTGGAGGGGTCGGTCACTTGTGTTCTGTGGTCAACGATAAGATGGAGATTTAGGAGGCAGAGAGCCTGCTCACCGGACGCCAGCACCAGAGAGGCACCCAGCTGGCTAGTGACAAAGTACCCTGGGTCTTTGGGACATCTAGTTGGGCACTGCTGTCCCTGGTCATAATGCCATTTTACAACATGAAACTCTGGCTTCTAATCCCTGCCCTGGGAAAGAGGCCTGTGTACCCACAACCCTGGCACCAGCCTCAGGCTGACCTGGAAGCCCGCCCCGGGGCTGCTGTCCCATCCTGAACTGTGGGTTGTGACGACTCTGGCTGGTTTTGCCTTTGTGGATCTTGAGGGCTTCACTCCAGTCCAAGCCTGGAATTCCTGTCTAGAACAGAGAACACGGTCACAACCTTGTACAGGGTCAGCCAACCCCTTCCCCGACTCCCCAGGGCTATGGGTTTGCCCGTGCACAGCCCTGTCCGCTGCTAAAACCCTCCCAAGTTCCAAGTTCCAGGTGGTCCTTATCCTCTTCCCAAAGACAGAACCGGCAGGGCAGTGCACTCCCAGGCAGGCCCAGCTCCAGGAGAAAGGAGGTGTGCGGCCACCCTGCCCTCACCTCAGCCATCTGCTGGGTCATCTGGGCTCGCCCCAGCCCCTAAGGAAGCAGGAGAGGAAACTTTCTCACACTGCAGGCGAGCGGCAGGCTCAGAGCAGAGCGCAGTCAGCACCTGGTGCCGCCCCAGTGCTCTACCTGCCCCCGCGCTTCTCCCGAAGCTGCCCCCGAAGCCAGGCGGCTTCAGGCCCCTTATGCCTGAATAGGAATTGCCCTCAGCATTGGGCACAGCCCTGGCCTGCCAGACCTGCTTAAGACCAAAGAGAAAAATAAGGCTCAGAACTTTATTCTTTGTCTTATTAACTCATGCAGAGAAGGGATCACAATGACCATCTCAAAAACCTCCCGGTCTTTGACAGCTCTCTGCCTGTGGGAGGGAGTGGGTCATGCGCTCTTGCTGAGCCTGTGGTGGGGAGGGTGGCGTGGTGGGGGAGGGTGGCGTGGTGGGGGAGGGTGGCGTGGTGGGGGAGGGTGGCGTGGTGGGGGAGGGTGGTGTGGTGGGGGAAGGCAGCCCGCTGGAGGGAGAGGATGAGGCTGGCACCGCTAGCTCCATGTCCTGGGAGCAGCTTTCTCGATGAAAAGACTGCCTCCATTTCTCTGAACAAAAGGGACCGCCTTTAATTCTACCCACTCCTCTGCAAGACAGGGAGCTAAGGAGGGCCGAAGTCCCTGTGTCCCAGGAGCACCTGGCCGAGATGGTGGTGCTCAGCTAGCCCGGGCTGGCACCCATGTGCACAGGGTTGCTCCTGCCTGGGTTGGATCCTGCCACAGTTGGGCTTCAGGCCCTGAGGTCAACAAAGCTGCCTTTCTCCTTGGCAGCTGCACAGCTGGGGCACCACTGGGCAGGCCGTGTGTGGGCAGGGAATGGATGTGTCCATAGCCAGCACTTGGGTGCCAGGAGGAGAGCTGGGCCGGGCCCCATCAGGTAATTTTCACTCCCAAAGCTTCAAGGTTCAAAAGACCAGCTGCCCAAACCATCTGCTGCTCTGTTTCTCCTGGGGAAGCACGTCCTCCCCTGGGCGTGCCCTTCTGTCCCCAAAACACCCCGAATGCCGACGCTCGGCCTTGGGCCTGGCATCCTAAGCCTGCTGCTCTGAGGTGGCTGCAGGGGTGCCAGAGCAGGAAGTGATGAGAGCCATAGACTACAGCTATCCTGGCAGCCGCCAGAGGAGGGGCCCAGGGCTGCAGCCCAGGTCAGAGTCGCAGGACTCGGGAACTGCCGGGAGAGAAAGAAAACAGACTAATGGGCTGGTCCGAGCGCAGTGGTGTTGACAACTAACTGATCACAACCAGTTACGGATTTCTTTGCTCCTTCTCCAATCCCACTGCTTCACTTGACCAGCCTAAAAAAAAAAAACAAACAGACTAATGGCTCAGGCCAAGAAGATGACAAGAAATGCAGGCCTCCCCGCCCGCTTTCCCCCCTTACAGTGTTCCAGCATGTTCCATTGGCCACTTCCTGTGGGCTGCAGTCCTTCGCGCCAGGGCCAGAGCTGCCCAGGGCACCGCAGAGAGCTCTGGATGGAGGATCAGGAGGCCTGGGTTCTCGGCCCAATACGGCTTCAGACAAACTGCTTAACTTCCCTGAGCCTTAGTTTCTTCTGAAAAGTGGGGCTGCTGACCCACGTGCCTGAGGTCATGAGTCGTCACAGCAGGCACTCAGAAAAGTGGGGCCGAGTCTTGCGGAACCTGAACGGTCAGGCCTTTAATTGACCCACCTAGAAAGAAGGAGGGAAACGACCAGGGAGCAAGGACTGTCTTCCAGAAGCTGGCAGGACGAGCACCTGGGCCACAGGTACAGAACAGCCTGGAGGAGGAATCCAGAGGGAGCCAGGCTGGCAGTGGGAGGAGCTGCTGTGCCCATGTGGCCAGGCCAGCAAGGCAGGCCCTGCAACGGTGAAGTGGAGGCCTGGGGAGCTCCGAGCACTCCCTCGAGAACCCTGGGTTACCAGTGGCCACACAGCACTCGCATCTTCGGGACTCCTAGCTCTGTTCGTTTCCTTTGCTTTCTGAATTTCTTGAAGGTTTGCTTAGATGATGTGCATCTTGCAAGGCAAGGCAGAATGGAGCGGCTTGTGCCGGGTCCCAGAGCTGGAAGGTAAGGGGTCCCAGAGGCCCGCTGGCATGGCGCTGGGGGACCAAGTTCAAGAGTGATCCTGTGTTTCTGCCCGAATTGAGGGCAGGGTCCAGGCGGCCAAGCTCTTGCTCTTCCTGCTTTTTGGATGAAGAAAGGGTCGAAGAGGCCGACCCACCCAGACTGACAGAACAGGCGGCGAGAGCTCCCGTGAGCCGACTCCTGTCTGCCAAGGCTCTTCCACGGCTGGCCTCGGGACACACTTCAGGGAGGCAGCTCTTAGGGGCTGAAAACCTGGGGGGTTCAAGTTCAATCTCTGAGGCAAGTCAGACCAGCTCCTTTCTCTGCCACTCAGAGCTGTGCCGGCCTCGCAGTTCCCTCACCTGTAGAAGGGCAGGCACTCCATGAAGGCCGCAGGGGCCAATCTCGGGGGGTGCTGAGCCCAGCGCCTGCTGTGCCTTAAAGCAGAGAAAGTGACAGCTAGCACCTTTACCACCACCAGAGCAGGGAGGGCCTGGGAGGGCATTCACTCACCGGATGTTCCACACAGATGAGGGACTGCTGCTTGCTTTTATTTATTTAATTATTTTTTGCGACAGAGTCTCACTCTGTCACCCAGGCTGGAGTGCAGTGGCACCATCTCAGCTCATTGGAACCTCCACCTCCCAGGTTCAACTGATCCTCCCGTCTCAGCCTCCCAAGTAGGTGGGATTACAGGCGCCCACCACCACATCTGGCTAATTTTTGTATTTTTAGTAGAGACGGGGTTTCACCATGTTGGTCAGGCTGGTCTCAAACTCCTGACCTCATGATCCACCTGCCTTGGCCTCCCAAAGTGCTGGGATTACAGGCATGAGCCACCACGCCTGGACGAAGGACTGCTTCTAAAAGCTAAGCTAGCCAGACGCAGTGGTTCACACCTGTAATCCCAGCACTTTGGAAAGCTTAAGTGGGAGGATCACTTGAGCCCAGGAGCTCAAGACCAGCCTAGGCAACACAGTAAGACCCTGCCTCTACAAAAAAACAGAAAATAGCTGGGCATGGCGGTACGTGCCTGTGGTCCCAGCTACTTGGGAGGCTGAGGTGGGAGGATCCTTCAAGCCTGCGAGATCAAGGCTGCAGTGAGCAGTGTTTGTGCCACTGCACTCCACCTCGGCAGCAGAGTAAGACCTTGTCTTAAATAAAAGCTAAGCCTCTGCTTAGAACATCCCTAATAAATAGGAGCCCAGCACCATGCAAATCAGCTAACTCCATGGTCAGACTGACAGACAGCGTCTCCTTCCTGGAGCGGAAGCTGTCTCCCTGCAAGCTCCACCCCTTGCCCTGCTCTAGATCACCCACTGGAATGCCCTACATACTCAGGACTTCTGCCCTTCAAGACCTCTCTGCCATTCAGGCCCCTCCAGCTGGCTAGGGCCTGAGCACTGCGGTCCAGTGTCGCCCACTTCCGCTTGAGCACGACCCACCTGCAACCACTGTCCCTCAGCGAGTTCCTCACAAACTGTGGACCTATGAAGGAGCCTCCTCCTGGGGACATGGAATGCTCTTTGTGTCTTGATAATGGTGATAGCAACTAAGTGGATGTATTTGTCAAAAGTCATCCAGCTGTGCGTCTCTAATGGATGAACTGTATGGTTTGGAAATAATGCCTTGATACGGCTGGGGTTTTTTGGGGGGTGGGGGGTGGTTTTGTTGTCACTGCCCAGGCTGGAGCTTCGACCTCCCAGGCTCAAGTGATGTTCCCACCTCAGCCTCCCGAGTAGCTGAGATCACAGGCGGGCACTATACCTTGCCTTTTTTTTTTTTTTTTTTTGAGATGGGGTCTCACTATGTTGCCCAGGCTGGTCTCAAAGTCCTGGACTCCAGTGATCTTCCTGCCTCAGCCTCCCAAAGTGCTGGGATTACAGACATCATCCATTGTGCCCAGCCTGGTTTTTAAAACTAATAAAATTGGGGGGATAAGTTCATATCTTATGGCTCTTTAATTCCACAGGTAGGAATTTATCTCAAAGAAATGATGATATGAACAAAGATTTAGCTGTAAGGATGCTTATCACAGAAGTTATTTTTTGGCCAGGCTAGGTGGCTCATGCCTGTAATCCTGGCATTTTGGTAGGCCAGGACGGGGTGGATCACATGACGTCATGAGTTCAAGACCATCCTGGCCAACATGGTGAAATTCCATGTCTACTAAAAATATGAAAATTAGGACAGGCGCGGTGGCCTGTAATCCTAGCACTTTGGGAGGCCAAGGCGGGTGGATTATGAGGTCAGGAGTTGGAGACCAGCCTGGCCAACATAGTGAAACCCCATCTCTACTAAAAATTAGCTGGATGTGGTGGAGAGTGTCTGTAGTCCCAGCTACTCAGGAGGCTAAGGCAGAAGAATCGCTTGAACTCGGGAGGCGGAGGTTGCAATGAGCCAGGATCGCGCCACTGCACTCCAATCCGAGTGAGTGTGAGACTCCATCTCAAAAAAAAAAGAAAAAAAAGGCCGACAGTGGTAGTTCACACCTGTAATCCCAGCACTTTGGGAGGCCAAAGCAGGTGGATCACAAGGCCTGGAGTTTGAGACCAGCCTGACCAATATGGTGAAACCCCGTCTCTACTAAAAACACAAAAATTAGATGGGCGTGGTGGTGGGTGCCTGTAATCCTAGCTACTCAGGAGGCTGAGGGAGGAGAATATGTTGAACCCGGAGGCAGAGGTTACAGTGAGTTGAGATCGCACCACTGCACTCCAGGCATGGCAACAGAGCAAGACTTTGTCTCAAAAACAGCAATAGTTAAAAATAAAAATTAACTGGACATGGTGGCACACACCTGTAATCCCAGCTACTCTCGAGGCTGAGGCAGGAGAATCGCTGGAACCCAGGAGGCAGACACTGCAGTGAGCAGAGATTGCACCACTGCACTACAACCTGGGCAGCAGAGTGAGACTCCGTCTCCAAAAAAAAAAAAAAAAAAAAAAAAAAGCGAAAAAGACAGGTAATACATAGACATGTTACAAAGGAAAAAAAAAAGCAGTGGTTCAAAAGCGCAGAGTGAAGAGCCTCCTCCCACCCCTGGCAGTCCCCATCGCTCAAGTTCCTTTCCCCAACGGTACCATCTCAGACATCCATCAGAGACCTCTGTGCTCATCGGAGCATATGTGTGTATATTAATACCCCTTCTTCAAACACAAATAGCCTCCATGCTGCTGTGCGCCTTGCTTTTTTGGTATGAGTATATTTAAGATCGCATTCCGCGGCTGTGCTGCAATTACCCAGTCCCTTTCAGCAGCAGGACGGGGTTGTGGGACGACGTCTCCACGCATCTTACACGCCTGAGCTCCCACCCACCTTGCAGGATATCTGTAGGGAAAATTCCTTATAGAGAAAGAGCTGCATCAAAGGAAAAGTAGCGCTGTTACTAGCCCCACCTTAGAATACCCAAAATCGTCAGTGGTAAGGAAGCACACAGATACAGCTTACAGATACAGAGCCTTAGCCATAGGATAAAATACTGCACGTTTATTAAAATTCCTGTTGCAGAACATGAAGTAACACGGACAGACTTCTACAACTGGTGAAAAGGAAGTGTGCAGTAAGAATCTGGCCATGTAAAAAGCTATCAGTGCATATGCACCCAGCGCATGTTAGGAGTAGAAAGAGCTCGTCTGGGGAGGGCTTCAGGAGGTATTTATATTGTCATTTCTGTACTCTCCCATTTTTCTACATTACTTTCACATTAAGAGGGGAAAAGGCAGAACGCCCTCGGCTGTCCAGGACAGAGCTGCGCTGGGAGGCGGGAGAGGGCCCGCAGCCGTCTTAACTGAAAGCCCTCAGCAGTCCCTGCCACAGCGGGGCCCTGAAGGGCGCACCCACTCAGGACGCTGCGCTGGGTCCTCACCCCCCAACGCCCCCAGGGGGCAGTGACCGGCGGGAGCTGGGTGCCTTGGCCTCCGCACCCCTTGCACAGCTAGGCCCGGCGGTGGGAGTGAAAGGGAGGCCATTCTGCCGGCTGCCCCCAGGAGGGCGCTAAGAGGGCCGCGGTGCGCTCCCGGCTCGGGGGTGCCGGAGCGCTGAATCCGGGGACCGAGCAGCGCAGGCGACACCTGCAGTGCCCACGGACCACAGGGGGTGACCTCTGAGGCCGCCAGGGATCCGGGCTCCCGCGCCTCCGCCCTCCCACCACACGGTGGGGACTCGCCGCGGTCCCTCCCCAGCTCTTACCTGTACGATGTGGTCGCTGCTGCAGCCGCGTCCGCGTCTCCAACAGGCAGCACGTAGACCCCACGGGCGCCAGGCGCGCGGGGCGCGGAGGACTTGTCCCTGCGGCCGCTCGTCCCTGGCCCGCGCCCCGGCGGCGCATCCCTGGGCCCGGCGGGCGCCGTCCACACGCCGAAGTCACGCTGGTACTGAGTGAGCGGCACGTCCCGGCCGCGGTCCCGGGCGCCCGCTGGAGGCTGGACCCTGCGCGAGGCGGCGCCGCCCGGGCCCGGCTCCTCGCTGTCCAGATCCGAGTAGCCGTGCAGTGTCAGCGGCACGGCCACGTCGGAGCGGTCCAGCTGATTCCAGCGCCGCGCCAGGCAGCACAGGCGGCTGATGCAGGGCCACGCCATGCCAGCCCCGGCGCCCGCCACCTCGCTCCCCGCGCGCGCGGCGCTCCCAGCCGCGCCTCCCGCGCCCGGTGACCCCGCCCCCGCGGCCCGCCCCGCGCCGCCGCAGCGCTGTCCCCCAGCCCGAGGGTGGCGGTCCCGGGAGGGGGCGCACTCGGCAGCAGCCCCAACTGGAGCTGGACGGGGCGGGGCCGGGGAAACACTACGCCAGCCGTCTCCAGGGGGCACTGGAAGCCGCCTGCAGTCGTTTACGAGGGTCCAACTTGAAGGATGCTCAGAATTGAATCCAAAGTCCCCTCAATGTCGTCTTACAACCGGCCCTGTGCATTTGTGCCAGGCTGCACCGCAGGGACTCCGCGGGCACAGGGGCGTGTGCAGCACTGAGGGTGTCAGGGAAGACGCGGGGCCCTGCTTCCCGGAGAACTCGGGTTTCAGTTCGCCTGAGAGTCGCCGCCTATCTGCCTTCACAGTGCGAGTCCACTTTTCATTAGAATTGGCCTTAGCCACCAATCGACCTTTCCCTGGGTCCTGAAATTCCTAATTTTAAAGCATGGCCATTTGCAAAGGCGTTAGTTTTAGAAAGCGGCCACAGAACTGGCCACTAAGCTATCGAGTTTCTTTCCTCCTGCGCCCACATGGCTGTTTCCAGGCCAAGCTGCTGAGGGATCCTCCAGGCAAAGGCAGGTCTGTTCAATGCACAACACGGTCTCAGACAAACCACCGAGCACCCACAAACGTCTTTCTGAATATCTGACACATGCCCTCAGTGTACACTGCAGACCAATTACTAATAGCACTATTGAGACAGCATTAATTACCCGGAGCTCCATTTCAAGGTTGGACTTGGAAGGTTTCCAGTCTGTGTCTGGCAGAGGACTGCGGAACAGCCCCGGCCAGTCAGAAAACAGATTCATCTCCCAAAACATTGCCTGTCTTAGCTTGAAGTTGTAACAGAGTGACAAGACGGCTGGCCTGAAGTGGCAGCAGGCGCGGCACCAGTAGGGGACACCGGGGTCAGAGTGCACTGCCTTGGGGGAGTGTGCCCCACGGCCCTGGGTTAGCCCTAGCAGATGACGCTTGTGACTAAAGTTCTCCATCTCGGAGGAAAAGAGAACAGCTTTCTTCTTATTACTTCCCTGATCAAACAACAGTCAAAGAGCACTTACTATGTGCTAGGAATAATTCCGGGTGTCTTCAGGTGGTTTAGTGTGGTGGTCACAGGTGGAAGTAAGTGTAATTGAACTGACAAAGCCAGGTCAGCACAAGAGGGAGGAGGGCTGGGGAAGGCTGGACTTGCCACCTGTTGGGAGGGTGGTTGGGCCTGGTGGGAACGTAGGTCACAAGGGAGGCGGGTTCAGTGGAGGTAGCAGAGACCAGACTACACTAAGGAATTTTTCATATGTCTGGGGTACGGGTGGCTCATGCCTACAATCCCAGCACTTTGGGAGGTCAAGGCAGGAGGACTGCTTCAGGCCAGGGCTTTGAGATCTGCCTGGGCAACACAGTGACACCCTATCTCTGCAAAACCTTTAAAAAATTAGCCAGGCGTGGTAGTGTGTGCTGGTAGTCCCAGTTACTTGGGAGACTGAGGCAGGAGGACCACTTGAGCCCAGGAGTTCAAGGCTACAGTGAGCTATGATTGCACCATTGCACTCCAGCCTGGACAAGAGACAGACCCTGTCTCCAATAAAAGCTTTTCACAAGTGACCACAAAGGAATGACAGAGGTGTTTCCAGCACTCTGGCAGCCATATGGAGCAGCACAGGGACGCGTTGGAGACCAGCTGGAGGAGCAGGCTCAGCAGTCCGGGGACTGAGAGGCAGGGACCACGCAGAGGCACAGGCACTGGGAGAGCTGCAGGCTGGAGTCCAGAAACAAGTGACCCGCTTCACTCATCATGTCACTCCTTAGGCCGAGTGCTATGTGAGAGGCCTGTGCAGGGTGGGGGTGGCCCCAGTGCCTGGAACCATGCCTGTGCTGCCGTGGACGCATTCAGTAGGAATACGGAGAGATTCTGTGGCTCCTGAACTCAGACGCCTCAGATAACTGAGGCCAGAGTGGGCGCCCGTTGAAGCGTGTGCAGAGTAAGGGGACAGCGGCCATGGCACATTCCTAGGCGCGTGCACTTCAGATGCCGGTGGAGGCGGCACAGCCCGAGACGCCCACAGGCCGGAGGGCACAGCCTTGCAGGCAGGGATCGAGGGTCCCCAGAAAAACCGAGAGGAGAAAGGGAAGCATCCTTGTTGGCAACGAGGAGGGGGGCTGTGGACAGCAAGGCTTTCTGGCCACTCACAGAGGCTCCGGCATCCAGGGCTTTTATGCACCAGGAGGTGCTAAAGGGACTTCTTCCCGGTCACAAAGCAGGGACAGAGAGATGTCTCCATTGCCTGTTTGCCTGGTCTGCCCAAAGCATGATGTGAATTAGTGTTGGACTCTAGATGGAATGTCCCTGAGAACTCAGCCTCCTAGCCCATCTCTGGAGATCGCATCTTGCCTCATCTATGTCGCAGTGATGTTAGCAGATGTCAGAGCAAAGCACTGTGACCTTGGCCAGTGCCCCTACACCACGTGTGCCCTGTTTCCTCACTGGCAAAATGATGGCTGGGTTAAGAGAATTCTCTCCCCAGAAGTGACAGTTTAGAACAGAAGCCGGTGCCTGGAAAGAGTCACTGGTCCATCACAGCAGAAACAAGTCGGCCACGTGAGGTTGATGCCGGGGCCTTCACTCCTCCCGGGACAAACGTGCACGACTTGGTATAACACTCTGAGGCCATCAAAAGACTAAAAATTTTCCTGTAAATCACTTCAAGAGCACGCTCTCAAACCACGCTCCCTAGACGTACTTCTCAGTCACAAGGGTAACACGAATTCCACGGCAGTGCGGCTGTGACGACACTACCTGCTATTTCAGTAAGACGTTCACTTAGAACACACACTGTCAAACAGAAGATAAAATTCGGCTCAGATTCAAGTCAAATTTATCCAAATCACTCCTTCTACCTCTTAATTTATCTACAAATTTAACCTAGAAAGCAGAACCTGAAAATAGCCTTCTGTATGTGCCACTCACTGCCAGAAAACACTCCCTTTCCTGAAAAAGTTTAGGAAATACCGCAGCTGTGATTTCAGGCCACGCCAGGGAGGAGATCCTCTTGACTCTTAGGTGCAGCCAGCCCAGGGAAGGGGTAGGTAAGGAAGCGTGAGCGCTGGGCAGAGGCGCTGGAGGCCCAGCAGACAAGCCGCAGCGCCTTCCTGCTTGATCACGCCTTTCAGCGTGCGCTCCCCAGGTTCCGGCTCACAGGATATCCATGCAACGACCGAAGCAGGATGCCAGAGCCGTGTCGGCCCCTTAAAGAGAGAACACACACATCTGCTTACAAACTGGACAGAAGCCTTTATTCACAACTTTTCATAATTCACTTTCTAAAAAGACACAGACCGCAGGACACAGCAAAAACCCCGGGGGGCCGATGCCAGCATCTTCCAGGTGGGAGCAGAGCCATGCTCACTCGAGGGCCGATGTCTCCGGGGGCTCTCGGGCAGCACGACCAGACGCACCACTACTGTTCAATCCAGTTTTACTTAGAGCCACCTCCTTTTTTGGGGCCATCAGTCCTTATTTCATGCCAGATTTTCACTAGAGGCTCCCTGTTCTTCCAAATCAGTTCATGACCATAAGTAACATACCATCTGGAGAAAAGAAAAACAGCCAGGTCCCACATTCAAACAGTGTGACACACAAATGGCAAGTGGCATGGAGCTAGATGAGTTGACAGTTTTAAAATCGACCACCACTCACTGTGCAGCCTACTAAAACTGATTCACGTAGAGAAACGATCTAGCTTTAGTATTAGAAAACATCAAAGGCCGAAGTAGGATGTGGCGGTGGCTGCATGCTCTGTCATGTCTAAGTACCTCACACGTACTGCCTTTCATTCACCACCTGCTAGTTAAGTCTCACTGCTCCCGCTGCAGACACGAGGCAATCAGGCCTGAAAGAAAGCAGTTTGTCCAGGGTGCTAATAGTTTCTAGGTGGTCAGTCAAGGCTCCCTCGCAGGTCAGACTGACTCGATGTGGGAAGCATGAGAATTAGCCCTGAGGATGGCTGGCCCAGCTACAGGCCTCCCGTCATCTTCCTCCTCACTACACAAAGGGCGGGCTGCTCAACCAAACTGCGCCCCGCTTTAAGATCCACAGTTCTGATCCCCTCTCTCCTGTTCGCAGCAGCCTAACTGCGGCCTGAAGCATGAGCTCGAGAACTTCGCTTGCCCAGGCTCCGCCTAGGAATCAGCAGTAGGAGACTAGAGCCCAGCTCTGAAGCCTGCGCTGTGGACCCTGGACTATGCTGCCGCATGCAGGGAGCGGGGAGCGCCTCCTGTGAGCTGAGCAGCATAGCGGGCACTGAGGAGGGCCTGCCTTGGAGAAGCTCCTGGAGGAACTGTGGGTGTAGGAAGGCTTCCTGGAGGATGTGGGGTGGATTCCCATTGGCAGTTAGTGAGAGCGTGTTATTGACACCTTTGTTTTCCTCTGGCTTCCCCAAACAGAGTTCACGTTCCCTGAGGCAGAGACCAGATCTTGCCGCCTTATATCTATCTCCCAGACACCTGATTGAAAAAATGCTGTTTGACTTAGAGTGGATCAAGATAGCAGTTTAATGTTATAATGTTTTTTAAAATGTTCTGAATGTGTATGTTATATTATAAAGGGCTTGATTTGTACCTGACTCTTAATATTCACTATAGTGAAAATCTGATTATATACATTAATTAATAGGCATGTAATAAAATTCTCTGTGATTAAAGTAACAGTCTCTGGTGAATTTAGAACAAGAGAAAAAGGAACATCCTAATATTCAAATGCAATTGTAAAAATTCTCCCAAAAAAACACCTTGTTAGGAACTCTTCTTCCCAAATCTTTTTTTTTTTTTGGGTGAGGCAGTCTCGCTCTGTTGCCCAGGCTGGAGGGCAGTGGCATGATCTCGTCTCACTGCAATCTCCGCCCCCAGGGTTCAAGCGATTCTCCTGCCTCAGCTTCCCGAGTAGCTGGGATTACAGGCAT